TGCTGCCTGTGTGTGCTTCTGAGCCGTGGGGCACCTGATCTGGAACTGGTTGGTAGAGGTACAACAACGAATATTCCCCCCCCTCAAGCTACCCTTATTTATATATAGACATATTGCATGCATGATGGCGCTGACCACAAGTACAAAGTAGGTACAATAATAATTCCTGCGAAACTAAGTCCTCAGCCCCCATTTATTCACATCAACCTTACCCCACAGCACCTGTATTTCCCTCAAGATCATGCGAGCACGAGGAGCAATGAGCCTTGGCCAGTCTGTGTTTTATTCAACAACCTACCATACATCTACAATCCATTCACAGGATTCAAGCTTATTTGGAAGGTATGGTATTTTGTGTCACCTAGCTCTACATTAGACTCGAAAACGTTGAGAACTGCAGAAAATAACCCTTGGATCTACACCGGTGGTGGTAGTGATCTGCCGGTCGCATCCGAGCATCAGCGTCCAGCACCCGACGGTGCAACCGGGTAGGCAGTGGAACAGGTCAGCTAACAAGTACTGGGTAGCAGATGAAGATCCAGCAGGCAAAAAACGCAAATAATGGCAGTTAACAGAACATTTGTTTATAACCAAGTGCATCGAGTTAACCCACTTAGGGTAGCTGGCCGTCGCATGTGATAACGTAAGCGACTGGGATCGGATGCATTGCCGGGTTAGGCCGCAGTGCGCATATTGTAACTGTTTTGGGATAAGTCCCAACTCCATACAATATGACGGCCATATTCAATATACCGTTGGTAAGCATTCCCATTGTTTTGTACAATTGTCAGCAATATTTGTTTCCAGTGGACAAAAGGTATTCACTACCGGCAGAAATAATTTCTCAGACTCATCTAATGGAGACCTTTTGATATGTGTCATATCTGGGTGAAGGTAGTTGCCGCTGGCAACTGAATTAAAAATTTGCCTCTTATCAGGCTCGCCTCGTTCCCAGTCGTATGCATCTAGGAAGTAGCGCCCAAGGTACCATCGGGCCCAACTATTTCTATCATATCTATAGCAACTAATTGGGGAGACATATAAAAACTGCCCAGGAATCCTTCACATAAGATATATTGCGGGGAAATTCAGACCTCACAATAGTTCACACAGCCTTGGGGACTTTATGTTAATGATCTCACCATGATGTTGTGCGCTTGGCCGTGCTTTAGCGCGTTTATTGAATCAGTCAGCAGACTTACTCCTGGTCGAAAAGATTGATATAACAAGATTTTATTTCCTCCTATACCCAAGTGGGAGAAGGATACGAGGGCAGTACATCTTACCGCTTTTCCTTTTTATATGGTGAGACTTTTTAGTCTGGGCCTCGCCATAAAGAAAACCCTGCGGGACTGAAGGGATCTGGAAGGGGTTTGGATAAATCCAGAATCCTCCGTGACTAGGCATCCCTAACGTCGAGTACCTACAACCGGAAGCAAGGGTGTCGAAGGCATGGGTGGCGTTGGGGAGGGTTGCACCTACGGTAGAACCACAACAAACAGCGCATCTACCGGCCCCCCTCCTTCGACTCCCCCTCTAAAGTACTTCGCCCTATCTACTCTCGGCGGCAAACCAGGATTGATCGTCAGCTTCGGGGTGATTGGTATTCGTCTCTTCCACCTCCTCCACCACCTCCTACTCCGTGCACCCCACGGAAGTCCAGCTCTAGGTTAAGAGGTCCATAAATATTATGATAGTCGAGTGAGGGATCACCGCGTACCATATATATGCGAAGATTAGTTTGGGGATGGAACACATGGTACATGTATATCACATTCATAACCGCCTTATGCATGCTCGGTGTTGTGCAACCAGTGTGGAGGCGGGAATGTCAAGGAGAGGAGGCACCAGAAAGTCAGTGATCCTGCGCTGAACATGCAGACGCCTGCATTGAATTTCTAGAGTCTCAATACTTTTCTCCTTACGCTGTAGAACATCTTGTAGGTCCCTGATATTGGCTGTAGGTTCAGCTTGAAGAGAAAAGGGGAGTAATCGCGGGCGCTACCCTGAGCTGTAACCGGTCAAGCTCCGACCATGCCTTATGCTGTTGGACAACCGAAGATTTGGAAGAAAAGGCCATTGTTTTCACAGTCAGTATGAAGTATACATCATCGGATCACTCGGTCTGTACAAAACCAAGTAAGCTAATTTGACAGTGAACAGGTGACATAAAATCGAGAGTGCATCACCATTTGACATCTACGACCATAGACTGAAGAAAACGAGGCATCCCGTCCGCTCTGCCATATCTAAGCTTCAGATCGCCAGGCTAGTACTGCAGTGGGTGACCATGCGGGAATCCCTGGTGTTGTAGATTTTTTTGACTTCCGTTTTGTCTATGTCCACCACGATGATTGTAATGGTACTCACATCCCAATGCCGATACTCTCGTAAGTTAATAAGTACGAATAGGGGTATTCAATATTAAAATAATCAAGCGATTAAATTGAAAATTGTAATCGACGTTCTAAGCCGAAAATATTCGTTCAAGATTGAGTGACCCTCGATCATAGGATTCAGTAGTCTGGTTGCACTACCCCTCGCAGATTCAGTTGTTATCGCATTAAGATTGTCTCAGGAGATGCAATTCTGCGGGGTAATTTCTTATCGATAAGTACCTATTTGTGGTTTAGCGCTTCTCTCGACACAAGCATATGTATAGTGACTAAGCGAAAAAAATAAGAATATTCTTGTATCCAAAATATGCTTATTTACTATGTGGGACCGGCGAATGTATGCTTGTAATCAATATATGCTTATATCTGGTATACTTGTATCGAAAGACCTCTGTACTTTGAATAGGCCCGAATCTAAAGTCAAACTCATAACACTCACCCAAGCAAGACTAGGCGAACCTATCTCTATCACTCACGTAGAAGCTTCTATGCGAGACTCCAGCGACTAAAAGATTCACCCCTAACAAATACCTATCTCTCATCGCTTTACTTGAGTATAGCTCAGACTACCTCGTTCTCGCTCATGTCTTGTCTTTGCCACCTTGCCCGACTCTGGTCTTGCCCAAGTCACCTCAGTCTTATACCCTGACACACATGTAACCTACTTATGCAAATGTCAATACACTCCAGAGTCATTCATAATACTTGGAGCCGCTGATAATAGGTTGCACTCCTGGTAGGATGAGCTTGATTGAAGGTATTGAAAGGGTCAGTAGTCATGCCATCTAAGGCAGTTGTAGAAAGTGTCTGGATTGGTATTGGTACTGTAGACATGATGGTAATGTTGTGAGTTTTTATTCAATGAGGAGACAAATAATCATACATATATATTTTTGACTACCTAGTACAGGTAGCATTTGGGATCCAAGTCAGAACTCAAACATGGGGCTACTCCGAATTTTTGTCTGCAGCACTACATGTCAAAAGCGTCTCAGCTGCCTGTTGATGTCATAGGAGTGGTGGAGTCTCGATCAAAAAATAATAACTAGACTAGAACTGTATATTACCAAGATAAGACTAGCTTAATTACAAAAAGAGTTGACTGGGATATACCAGAAAAGGTATAGGCCAAATAAGGACTAGTCTGGTTAATAAGGACTACCTGGGTAATCTCTCAAAAAGGCAACCATCTAATACTACCAAAATAAGAAGTCAAAAACCTTAAATACCCATTATGTACTGCAGTAGGAGACTTTATACTGTAGTTACCCAAAACAGTAGGTACTAGGATACTAGTGATCTGAAGCTTAGATATGGTAGAATAGACGGGATGCCTCGTTCTCTTCAGTGAAGATGGTTGTGTCACCAGTCCGGTCAGAGAACACTAGCAAAGATATATAGGGTAATCCCACTGGTAGTCAATAATGATCCCCTTGGATATTAACACTTCCCATTTCTCCTCGAGAATAAAAGTACGATATTCTGCCAAGCTGTACCCATCAGAACCGTGTGCTCCTTTTTGTGGATATTTCATATACCACTGCTGCTAGATGTTCTCTTTCAGAACCTCCATAGCTATTTTTCTCGAAGGCGTCCCACGAGTCTCCATTTACATAAGTATCTTAAGACCGGCAATAAGATAAGGTTTTAAAGTCTAATAACTGGTAATTAACCCAAGGCCTCCCCTTTAGAGGTTCTGCCTTCGGTACAACAGGCAAACCAAATAGATCAATCCTCTGTTCACTGGTCCACTCAGCCGTGAAATTCCCTCATAAATTGACAAAATGCGGGGCTCTCTATTGACTCGAGAACAGGAAGAGTAAATACGGACGGAAATTGCTTGTGAGTTCAAGCTCGATCTACCTATATCGGACAATATCACCTTAAGCTGCTACAAAATCCCCTCCAAAATATCGGCCATAAGAATAGTGCTAGTCATGTAAGTAGGAATGTAAATTTCTTCATATACACTAGGGTCGAATTCGCAGCGCTCTGGCCGAAGGTAATCTAAGTAACGCTGTTAGGGGCGAGCTAGCGATATGGAGATATCTGTCGGCATATCGATATATTTGGAGCCTGCGAAGGCAAAATCACTGGTCTCGGGCCTAACTGGGCTACACGGAGAATATAGCGAAGAATATAGACTGATTCATTCGATAAAGTAAAGTAACCCAGCGATACAAAACTTCGCTCGAGTCTTAGAGAGCAATAGCTAGATACAAGAAGTGGGCATATATATAGGAAAGCGGGGTTGACTTCAGGCCACCCACCGTCGGGTGGTACCGGCCCGGTCTGCATAATCTCAGCCGTAACAAACGCATAATACTAGTAATTTGATGACCACGTACCACTGCAAGACCAGAAAAGCTTAGAGAGGAGCAGGTAGTCTACCTTTGCAAGCACTTGTTGGATGCGGGGTGCTAGCAAACTTAGATAGCTTGAGGTATACGACGTCTGAGGGCCTGAGACTGCGAATATCAAAACCATGGGTAGGTTTGTAAAAGAACTCAAGGCACATGGCGGAGATATAGGAGTATCTGGCCTAGGCTTGGTACATCTAGAGAGGCAACACGAGACTATGCCCTGCAGGTCCTATCATAAATAGGTACAGTGGTCTAATGGTATAATACCTGCTATGTAGTATCCTGCTGGTATCTGCCAGAGGGTGATCTGGGTTCAATTCCCAGCTGAGCTGTTTTCTTCTTTGATTTTCCCTTGAGGGGATTCTGGTCAGAAATGCATTCACCAGACTACTCCTGACCCAACCACCCAACAGCCTACCATCCAGCTAAATCTCATCTATCCTTCTGCTTCTATGCTAATTAGACTACGACCTTCATGAACAATATTGCATCTACTCTAATTGTAAAACTAATAATATGTTGTGTCTCCATCAACCATTCCTTCGGCTAGCTGGTTGCACTTCGGCCTAGGAGGTGCCTAGCTAGAGTATATTTACCGTGCCTGATATAGCGACGAAGTCAAGTACAACTACAGCCTGAATCCCACCTAATTTCATCTGGCCGTCTAGGTAGATCTGATAGCCTGGAACAAAAAGAGACAAGCAAGCATGAGAGTAGTAGCAATCGGAGTGGGGAGGCTTTTAAAGTGGAACAGGAAAGCCCTAATCAATTACACTCAATACACAACTGGAAAGAGAAAACTGCAAATGTGGAGACATGACCAGAATGCAGGTTTTATGAGATAGGCTCGGAAACGAGAATGCACATAGCTTTATCCTGTATTGCCGGAGAATGGGTTGGGTGAGTATGGAAATCTTGGAGTATGCGGATGATAGAGAGCGATGGTTGCGGAAGAGGAAGGATAGAGAGGAGGAAGTCACAGTGGATCTGGGGGAGGCGGTTTTGAGTAGATGTATTTATTTTTTGGTATACGTTTACTTATATCTTTTCCTAGGCTTGGGAGGTCAGACCAGCTTCTTGTACCGAAAGCTAGATAGAACCTTTCAAGGGAAGGCTTTGGGACCCCGTTATGGCTTTAGGCCGATTGCGGGTATAGACTATAAAAATAAAAATAAAAAAAGGTAGATCTGATCGGCATGAACTTGCTTCGGGATTCTGGTTTGTGCAACATTGGCAAGATCCTACTGACGCGGGATGGCACTGACAACTTGGTACATCATCAAGAGGCCAAACAGTTATCATGCTATATCACAATGTGCATGGGAGGTAGAGGTGTACATGGTATGATTGTGTTCTTGTAGTAGCTGGTAGAATTTAGGGTAACTGAAATATTATCAGGAAAGTGATGGATAAAGATGATCTATATAAGCAGCTAAAGAACTGCGTTCATGTACTTCTTTTCAGTAGGATCCTTGTTCACTATTACGTTCCTTCTAGGGACTAGTGAGAGTATTTCCTACACTCTCTCCTACTCGAGCTGCCAGTTCAGCATATCGCTTTCCCAGTACATGGCTTCCCAGTCCTTTATCCAGGCGAACTCATCCAGTTCTTCTTCCATTCCCTGATCGTTGTCATGTTGTACAACCTGGTCAGTAGGTCTGCAGAATTGTCCTTCCCTGGTATCGACTTTAGTCTGAGGTACTTCCGTCACACTTGCTGATGGTATAGTGATAGCAGTGCTCGATATGACAGCTGTGCTAGTGGAATTTGCTGGTTTTCGCTAAGTGGAGTGCTCCCTCGCTATTTGTGGTGAGTGTCGGGTTGGTCATGATTTGGAGCTCCGCTGAAACTGCATTCCTCAGGCACAGTCTTTCACTCCTTTGCATGCAGCTATGTACTCAGCTTCTGTCACTGATAGGGCTACAATGTCCTGCCGCTGTGAATACTATCCCACTTGTTACTTCCCTAGAGTAATCAATACCCCCGTTTGGGACTTGCAATCTTCTCCCCTGTAGGAGGCGTCGGCATAGGTCTCGAGCTCGAGATTCTTGGGCTTTCTCAGCCTGATCCCTTCCTGGTGTGTTGAGTGCAAATACTCTAATATACGCTTTGCCGCCTCTAAGTTCTCTACTATGGGTTTTGATGCTCATCTTCCCAAGAAATTGAGCTGGATGGCTATATCGGGTCGAGTCACCCGACTGAGGTACAACAACCCCCCAATTATCGATTAGTAGTTCTTGGGTTTTGGACCTTCGGTCTTGATCTCGATCTCGGTCTTGGTTCCAGCTGCATAGTAGGCTTCGTCGGTAGGTATTGAGCTTTTCCGACCATGATTTCCAAGGACTGGGAGGTGCTTCTGGACTAGAGTGTCTATTAACCCGGTTTGTGTCAGTATTACTTGCTCCTCATGATCATCTGCTGCCCGAGGGCTATTGATAATGTGGCCCCACCCCTCCACATTTTACAAGGGTCCCTAGTAACGCTTCCCTTGCCCAGTTTTTTTTTCTTTTCTAATACTTTTACACCTGTTCATTTACCTCCCCGATTCGGGAACATTGCCCTATATATACTAGGAGAAAAAATCCTAGTATAATAACTGCCACTAAAGTAATAACCACCCAATCTCCCCTATTTACTGTTAGCAGCTTTACGCAAAGCCTGAATACCTTGTAAATGAACAGTGAAATACTCATATTAAATATATAGATTTGAAGTAAAAGTAGGCAAAATAAGAGACAGTTTGTATAATTAATTATATACTTTATCTAGTATCTCAGTTCTTGTAGTTAGTTCTATTTGACATAGAGCTTACATTTTATATTTACTGCTGTAGATAGAGTTTGGGGATTCTGAGTATTAAGTCAAAACTCTGAAATAATAACCTTTACAATAACATTACTATGGATCACCTAGTACAAGTACTCATTACACAATTAGTACTCTCATTTGACAGCCCCTAATCTCTCTTTAGGTAATATAGGCTCAATGCATGCTTATCCTACAAGCCACCAAGTATATATAAGCTCTGGTGCTAACTTTAGTGCTTCCTTTAGCTTACTAAGAAATCTTCATAGTAAGAGTGTGTAATGAATAGTACTAGACAGTATTCATTCGGTACCGTTTATACAATCTATATCCGTAAGCACGGACATTTGTGTATTTCGGTTCTGCTGAGGTAAGACCTCAGAAGGGTAGGGAGATTACTATGTGGGACATTTCCGGAGGGAACAGTAATTAACTGGTGTAATCTATCTTATATGATTTATGCTATCTAAGCTATATGATCTTGATCTGATCGGAATATAGGCTTGCTTGCTCTATGTGCTTGCCTGTTGCTTCTTCTTTCTTTCTTGTGGATTCCAGAGGGAATTCAGTGGCCTATTTATACTCCTCTGAGATCTGATGACTAAAGAAATAAATACAATAAAGGGTGGTACACCAGAAGGTGGTGCACTGTACAAAAGGGGTCATGTGGCCATAGTAATGAGTCACACGCCTTAAACGATGGTCATGTAGCCATAGTAATGAGTCACATGCCTTAAACAGAGGTCACGCGGCCATAATAAGGGTGTCTTCATATGGCAAGTGCCATGGAACTTCCCATAGCAGATTCCACATGCTATAGACGCTTATAAAGCAATAGGAGGTAGTTGAAGGCTAGTCCTTCAACCGAGAGGCTTAGTTACATAATATAGTAGTAATATAGGAAATACAAAAGTATATAATCAATTATATAAGCAATGAAATAATGTTCTCCATTACACTTCCCCATATAGAAGGATTTCCTATCCTTACTTCTTTCACTCTACCATATTGGTTTCCATATATCCTAAGATTTGATGCATTGTTAATACATTAGTATTAACATAAATATCCTTAATGTTTCCTTAACTCATGATTCTATCTCATTCTTATTGGATGAGAGCTCGGGTCTCATCTCTGGTTCATGGTCCTTGTTTTCCTTTAGGTCTTCGACGTCTCTTGAATGTATCTTCCATACTTCCGGTCATCCAGAAGTCTTAAAGAATTTCAGTAGTGATATTCTTGGTGTTTACCCAGGAATCATGTTTAGGAGAGTATCCTAGCCATCTGACCTTATATTGTCTTTCTCCAGTTTAAGGAGCTGTTCTGAATTCTAATACCTTTTCAACTTTATAACGATCATCTTAAATTGGTCCTGGTTCCTAAGATTGTCTGTGAGGGAACTGAGTAGGATTGTTTTTATAGTAAGGTTTAAGTTTGCTGATATGAAAAGTATTATATATAAGGTGGAGGTTAGGTTGACTGGATAGGTCTAGGCTATAATTATTACGTTTCCGATTACTAGAAATAATGGGAAATGGGCCTAGCCATTTTGGTTTGAGTTTGGGTGAGACATTAGATAGGTTGATATTTTCTGAGGAAAGCATAACTTGTTGTCCAACTGAAAATTTGGCTGTATTGGATAGTCATTTGTTCACTTGAGATGCTTGAGTCTTCTTGGCGTTATATAGGTTTTTAGACATTACCTCATGACATTCATTTGCCAGCATATATACATTAATGGGGTATGGAAGTATCGATACGCCAAGATGTGCATTAAATCCAAATAGTGTGGAAAAGGGACTATTCTGTCTAGCGGTGTTATACCTAGAGTTAAGTTTCAACTGTATCTCTGGTAGTTTCTGTAGCCAATCAAATCCTTCGATTTTACAGGCTCTTGCTACTTGTAGAATTTCTTTGTTCACAATTTCTGATTGTCCATCTGCACGTGGATGATATACAGTGGACGGTTCCAACTTGATTCCTTTATTCCTAGCCCAATCTTGAAAGTGCGTTGACATAAAAAGAGTGTCACGGTCAAAAACAATACAAAAAGGGTATCCCATAGTCGGGACTACATGAGTATCAAAGGTAGCAGTACATTGTTCTGCTATGAAATTATCTGAGACAGGAATGAGAAACTTGAATCCTAATTGTCTATCGACAATCATTCAAAGTCATGAAATACAAACTACATGATCTTCTTCAACAGGATTATTCGGGTACAAAATTGAACACTTAGTAAACACAGGTGCTAACTTAAGAAAATCCATCGATATATCAGTCCATGGCCTGCTTGGTACATGTAACGGGGTTACGAATCCAAGTGGCGCTTTGTTGGAATACTTTGTCCGTTGACAAGTATCACAACTTCTGATATAGTCCTTAGTTGGTTCTGCAAAGGACTGGCAATCATATCGGTCAGTAAGATATTTCATCGTTTTTTCAATGCCACCATGAGCAGTTGCTTCATGTGCATCTTTAATAACCAATTCGAGATAGTTCTTACCTTCGATGTTAAAGGTAGAGG